GTTGTTATTATTATTGTTGTTTATTACCGTTAGTAATTTAATATTAATTATTAGTCTTAGCATTAACATTATGTATTGTTTAAATTTTTGCTAATATTATTATTGTTACCATATAAATAATAATTTTTTTTATTCATATTATTATTATATATTAGTTTTAGTATTATTATTTTAATAATAGTAATTTTAAAAATATTGTTATTGGTGTTTTATTGGTATATTTCTCATTATTATTATTATTATTATTATTATTATTATTATTATTATTATTATTATTATTATTATCATTCTTATTATTTTTATTATTTAATTATTATTATTATTGTTGTTGTTGTTGTCACCTTTATTATCGATATTACTACACTATTAATACTAAGTAGGCAAAGTATTATAAGTATAATAATTATTATTATTATTACTAATTAGTATTACTATTATTATAAAAATAAACGTTATCTTTAATTTATTATTGCTGTTATTATTGCTATTATCACCTTCAATGTTATTATCACTAATTAGTATTATTAAAATAGATATTTAAATATCGTTATTATTACCATATTATTACTATTAGTATTGTTAACATAAATATCACTATAATATTGTTGTTTTTATCACCTTTATTATCGTTATTATGACTAATTAGTATTATTAAAGTATAATATTTGAAAAGGACCGACATGTCACTGGTGATTCACGTCATTGGATGCATCCTTGTCACTGACGGGTTTCAAACATAGCCCCCAATGGTTGAACAAATATGAAGGACTGAAGTCTCTCACTCAACAATACCAATTGTTCCTATTGTGGATAATTGTTACTAGATGCTGCACCCCACCTAATTTTAACGTAGGCCTAATTCTTGGGCGTGGTTCTGAAGAAAATAGTATCGAAATGCACGCCATCGTGCATTCATTAGGTCTAACAGTATCTCATGTTTTATGTCAGTGCTTTAACGTGAACAAAATTAAACATTAATATATGTGTTTTTCTTAATTATTAAGATTGCTTAAATTGTTAATGTTGACTGCGGCCGAACTTTTTGTGGCCGAGTTGATTTGTGGCCGAGTTGACTTGTGGCCGAGTTGACTGTGGCCGAGTTGACTTGTGGACGAGTTGACCTGCTTCCGATGTTGATACTACATACCGTTTTTCAGAATGGTTTATTTCTATGCAGCAAGGCTTAGTTTAGGCCCTAGGTACGTTACATCATGGCCTAGCCTAGTGTTATTCCACGTCTTGGAACTTTCACATTTGGTACGAATACGATACAACAGAGAGAAATAAATCCATAATAAATCCAATTAGTTTCCTGGTGAATTAGTTTATTCTCCAGAGATACACTTTTTCCACAAGCAGTTAACCAATATAAAACTTCATAATGGTTTTCGTTCTAGTCTTCTTAGAATATAACAGTAAAACGTACATTTGAAAAAGAAGCAAAAGTAGGTCTAGTAGTACTCCTGTAATAATTTCTCACGTGTGCAATTAGGTTACAATTCACAATATCGGCGTGCTCACCTTGAATGTTTATTTGATTCCCTCCCGCCAGCGTGTGTACAGC